GGTGTAAAGCACTGTATCTTCGAAGCATAAGTTTGTAAAGGATTAAAAATAATAGAGCCTTTGGGTAATATACTACCAATAAAACACAATGTACACATTTTTTTTTTGAAATAAAAAGCAAAGTATTATTATGCACAAAAGTACCAAAGGGGTACCACCTATATACAAAATAATTATATTTCAATCAAATGGTCAATGACTAAACCAATATCATCTCAATCTTTAATGTCATAACCCAATAAGATCGAACAAAAAATATGAAACAAAGCACAATGTACACATAGATAGTGCAAGTAAAGGGTACAACACAATTGTGAAACACCATATACTCAATCCTATACCAATCCAACTCTTCCCAAGGACTTTCATCCTTTCTTCACTGTTAACAAAAAAGAAAATTCCCATTAGCATTCCTTCACTAACCACACTACCTGTGAGTACATTTAAGTTCTATAAAAAAAAAGATAATAAGAAACAGCCAACAAATGTGCTCAAAGACAATAATGAAACCGGAAAATCCTGAATCCCACATTTGCACATAATATAATTTAAATTTCAAACAACAACATAGCATACATGTAAAGCATCTGCAAACAGGCCGCAAAATCTTAGTAAGTGATAACACCAAAACTATGACAGAGACCACTCGGAATTTTCTCAAGAATCAACTCCCAGATTTTGTAGTCAATTGCAGTTCATTGCTAGAGTACTTTGTCAAAAGGTTCCAAACTTTGTTTGCTGCATGGAGATACTATCTTAATAGTTGAAGTCAGACCCAGATCCAAATGTGTCAAATAGTAGCTATAGACATGAATCCAAAGTCAGTTTATCTCAAATACAGAGATAAGTCCATTAAGGAACTCGAATCTAATATGTGCAACTAAAATTGTTGAAAATCACTTGTTAATTTCCAAAACAAAAATGCACCTTGTTATCCTTGCCGGCAAAAACATAATCTAAAAGCACATTACATGGTTAAAGAACTTGATTTTACATTAAGATTGTGTTTGGTTCAAATTTCAATTTTATACAATAGGAATAGAAATACAATACACACAAGAGAGGATTAATTCAATTATGCATCAAATTATAAACTATGACTAACTTTTAGAGATGAAATAATTAAAATCTAAAGATTAAATGAGAATAAAATTATTTTAAACCAAATGCAATATAATAAACATAACCAGTTTATCCCCCCTCACCCGAATCTCCCACCCTCCAAAGAGGGAAAAAGAATATACAACCAATTCACGTCCACAAATTTCAAAACAATATAGAAAGAAGGATAAATAAGAATGCCCACTTAAAATGAACTTTTTAGTTTATTTCCAAAAAAAGAAAAAGAAATTGTTAGTGTGCCCAGCCAAGTCTGCGATGTACATTACTAAAGCTATCAGAATAGGAATAGAACATATCCAAGAAACATTAACCAAACGCATGATGAATGTGAATAAGAAACCGCTAAAATAGAAAATAAAAATATACCTTCCATCAACAAGAGCATCAAAGGTGAAAGAAACCAAATAAGAACTCAAGTCCTCGTCCAAAACAAGCTGTAAGGTATCCTTACGTACATCCACGTATCGGTTAACCTTCTTGGGAGAATCATCATGCCCCGGGGGAGCCGCCTCCATGCCCAGACGCTCCATACGCTGTACCAAGACGGATGGAGGCGGAAACGGGGCCGAGTTGTTCTCCGGCCAACCAGCACGGTGGGAATGGTAATTGGTGGAAGAACCAGCGGTTGTAGGATGATAATTTGGAAAATTAAAAATATTGATATCGTAGTAATGATCATCGTTGCTGTTCACAACAAGGGTATTCTGGATAACATCATTATGGTTGTAGAAAGTGGCTGATATTGCTGGCTGTGAGGTGGAAGAAGAAGATAAATCCGCCGGAGGAAGTGCTTGCTGTGTGGGTAGACACTGACCCATCTTTCTTCTTCACAATTTAGACCGAGAAAATTCAGAAACAGACTCTGATAAGGCGGGAGAGTAGACGACAGAAAGATTTGTCGAGAAAGAAAAAGCGGCAGAGAAGACCAACCCAGATCGTAACGTTACACGAGGACCAACAGGAAATGTTTTGCGATTTCAATGCATATTCACGTATAAACAATTAGTACATTGTAATCTACTAGTCTACCGGGACGCGATTAGGTGCTTAGAAATTTCACAAGGAGAGAGACAGAGCGAGAGAGAGATGTCACAGACAAGAAACGTAAAAGGATAACCAGGAATTAACTGGGAAAAACGTGTTTTCAAACTCCAAGGCTCATAAAAAATTGTTTATCCAGCCGTCTAATTAGTCTATAATGCGAAGACGTGGCCTGCTCTTAAGATTTCTTACCAATTTGAAGTCAATGGTTTCTTTGGTTGACTCGAGCGAAAGAGTCTTTGACACAGCTCATGTGTAATAATAGCCGTTAAATATGAGCAGCCTACAGTAGCCATAAGTAAAGCTGCAAAAAAAGAAGAAAAACACATTGTGATGTGTTCTTCTTCTTCTTCTTCTTTCGCATTTTCACAAACAGTTGGCGAGCCTGAATCTCACCGTTCTTAACTTGCTGCTCCCTCTCCCTGTAACCGGCCTGTCTTCCAAGTATTGTTCAACTGCAGGTGTCCGCAGACCCATCCCATTGCTATTCAGCATCTTTCGAATCTCGGGACGCTGGTTTTGATCCAAAATGAAGACAGATTCAGACAGTCAAAGCGAGCCTTCTTCTGCCTCGACGTCTGTTTAGACCCTGGTTGGTGAAAGTTCGAACTTCAAACTCCTTAATGACTGCCGCTGGGCATACCATCTCTTCGTCTGAACTTTCAGTTCGAGCTCTTCTCCGTAGTTGGGCCAAGTTTTGCACTTCCGCCGAGGAACATTCTAGGACCCAACTCACTAAATAAATTTAATTTTTAAGTTTTTTTCTTTTTTCTAAAAAAAAAATAAAAATTTAAAACAAAATTTAACCGAATTTCAAAAATTATAAAATTTATTTTTATAAATTAAATATTATAAATCAGAACCCACTAATTTGTAATGTACTTATAAATTAACATAAATTATTAATTCTTTCAAATTATAATGTTATAAATTTAATATTTAATAATCTCCATAATAATAGTTAGCATTAATAAATAATTATTAATTACATTTTATTATTAAATAATTATCATGATAATAAAGTAAATGATAACAAAATGCAATTAATATATGGTGATAAATAATTACAGTCGTAAATACAAAATATTTACCGTAAAAATATTTTGTACTTTATAAATATGAAATAAAATATAAGTATAAAAAATAAAATAAAAATACGTTGCATAAAACATAAAATTATTTGTGTGTAATAATTCATTTTTGGCAAGTAAATGTAGCAATATAATCATTAAAATTCATTGTATGTAATGATTTATTTTTTTATCTACTATTTAAATAATTAATTAAAATATTATAATTTATTTTTATTATATATTTTTAAGATTTACTCGCACGTTAAATTTTATTTTAATCAATTTATTTCGTTGTTTAAAATTTAACTTACCTTTTTAAAATTTGTGACAGTCATAAATTTGATTATTGCTTAAATTATAAAGTAACAAATTGTAAAATAAAAAAAAAAAACTTTATATTATAATTGATCAAACTCAAATTTAGGATAAGAATGAATATAAAAACTATTGAAAAAAACAATAACTCAAAGTTCAAAAATACATTTAAAAATCTCAAATAATCACTTACTATAAACTTCAATTTCAATTAATTTGACACGAAATCATAATAATTTTGTTCAAAAAATCATATGTACTTATTATATATAAATATTATATAGTATTAAAAAAAGAAGGGCAAATGTTACATTTTAATTGAAAAAAAGTAACATGACATTTTTTTTTTTGAGAGAGAGAGCAAAATAAAATAGTTACATATATTATTGGACTTGTAAGAATATATATATATATATATGTATATGTTAATTTTGTAGTCCAATAATTTATATATGAGGCCCTGGGTCGATTTAAGTATGATGATTTCACTACGAGTTTTTTAATTTGAATATATATATATATATTGTATTTGTAAAGTTTAATGAAAATTAAGCTATTAAGATTTGAATTATCAAGTCACTAATTAGATCATTGTATATATCTCCCCACAAAATTAATACGAGAATGTGGTTTTATATTAACAATAATTTGTTTCAAAATTACATTTATCACACGAGTAGTATCGCGTAATCAAAGTATATGGTGATCGGAAATATTTTGATGTATGTTGAATCTTGGTATATCATAATTTTACTGAAATTAATTGAAATATAATGAATCGATATTAATAATATGTTTTTTTATTAATTATTTCAAAACAAACAGTACGTATTTTAAAACTTCATAAATTTAACAAATTACTTGATGATATTGATATCGCACTTAAAGTCAGTATTCTATTAACCATAATTGTGATTATCCCTTATAAGATTACTAGTTGCTCAATATTCAAAGTTGTTATAATTAATTTGTACAATATTGAATGAGTAATTTCTCGTATAATTCACTGCAATTTATAAAATTTTTCATAAACAAAATAAATATGTAATATATTAACATATTTAATATTTTAACAGTAACTAACGAGTGTTCGAAATAATATTATTAAAATTTTTATTATCAAATACGATTATATTATTATTATGCATAAGTCAAATTATTACGAATAATATAATTTTTTAACTAGTAAAAT